AGATGAAGCAGACGTCGGCCAATGCTTTTGATTGAGTATTCCAGAGAAGCAGCAGTAATATTTATAGCCCATCGGGCACCGCCCAGAATTATCACATTTATGTACACGCTACCCGCCAACGCATCCATGTTGTACGCTATGCCATAACTAATAAAACTTGTCGAAAAGCTGCAAATGTTCATTTTTTGGAAAAACAGGGAAAGTGCTGTTTCTGATTTGTAAAAAAAAAAACAACTGTACAAAAAAGTAGAGGCAACATGGGCTGTTGAAACGTTACAGCCCATGTTGCCTCTACTTTTTGTGTGAGCTAATAGTAAAGCGGTAATTTCCTATGCTCATCGCAAAGCCACACTTTGAAAATTGACGAAAGGAGAGCAGTTAACGAAAATCACTTGGATGAGTATTTTTTGAGGCAGTCCCCGAATACAGCAGAGGACATCGCACTCTTTATTTTGGTGTAGGAAAAAAACAGTGAAATTAGTGCAAAATTACAGGGACACATCGGTTTTACGTGTAGAAATGTGAGGTAATGTAGGCGCGTTTTTTTGAAGCCAATATTTCCCAATGCACGTATACACATTCTTGGGCATTCCAAGTTCTGGATCCCTCCATACAACAGCTAAGTACCGTTTTTATTTTTTATCATCATCATGCCTTCTTGGGGCATTGCTGTCACAAATTTTTGCGCAAAAATGTAGGCATACAGGCTTGTAGCGAAGACCACGGCATAGCTGCCAAGTTTCCAGTCCGAAAATAAATGATAAAAATAATAATTCTTCTTTGACTTCTTCATTTTTTCAAGCTAAAAATATTTTGATTGAACTCTAGTTCGCAGAAAGACAAATTTCTTTCCTTAAAAGGGCTGGTATTTTGGTAAATTCCCGAAACTAGCAGACCTCTTCATCCGCAGCTTTATGAACGACTGCCATAATATGCTGTTCCCTTTCAGGTGTTAATTTTTCGCTCCATTTTGTGATATAAACGGCTGCTCTAGCTGCCTGCTCCCCTCGGCCTTTCTTTATCAGCCATCGTGGCGTGTCTTTCAGGAACCTAAACTTTGAATTCAATCTACTTTTGCTCTAATTATTATCAATGCTTGATCTTTCTGAAATCGAGACGTCGCTTTTGAAGAATCAGTCAGCGATAAAAATGCCGCATAGAAATTCAGAAATAATAACCGCAATGTAAGCAGCTTTAACCAAAACAAAATATTATGCCACGGATTTTGCGAAAGACTGTTTTACAAACTTGGCATCTGAAGGAAATTATCTTACAGTTTTAAGCTGTTCCAGCGTAGCTTTTTTATTTTGTGCTGTAACAATGAGAAAAAAAACACACATTTTTAGAAGGTTATCAACATTTGTTTATGCGTGTGTTTGCGGGGTGAGTGAATTTTGCCACTCTCTTTAGCTCGAGGACCAAAGAAACTAAAAGCTGTAAGTTTTGGAGCTCGTTCCACCCCCGTTAGCGACCTCCCCGTTTTAAAATTATCGAATGTAAATTTTTTTTAGCGACAAACGATTTCGAGAACCGGACAAGATAGAAAGTTAAAACTTTATAAAAGTGTTCTCTGTCCATGTATGAGTTAAAGATTCGAAATTCGGTCATAAAGTATGCACATAATTCGTGTAGAGATATGACAAATTTCGTTGTTGACACCGTGCTTAAATCGGGAAGAGCCGAAAAAAATAACTGCAATTTTGTGAGAGTATTTATAGTCTATATGGAGCCATGTCATGTACACCTAAGCTGAGTTTTGGATTGGACTTGCGTCACGCGCAAAAGCATTTTGAGAATGTTTGTGGCGAACTGGCGACTTGGCAGCTGAAATTTTAAAAATACTTTCTGTGTCTATGTGCAACTTGAAGATTTTAAACTCAGCTTCGAGACACTCTTAAATCTTGCGCTATACGAAAATTAATTTTTGTCGGACAAAATTTAGCACCCATTTACTCTGCAACCAGGTAGATCAGGAAGCCACATTTTTTTCAGCGTCTTTACGGTTCATTTTCAAATCTGTAGGCATAGCTTCCACCTTTGCTGTGCTCTGCTCGGAGGTGCGTCAAATATTCGTACTGCAACACTTTTGTTCTTCTTTTCACTGTTCAGACAGTCAAGAAAATAGGAATTGTACGAGAGTGTTGGGCAATTCCGCTCGTTATTAAAACGAAAAATCAATCTTCAAAAACGTTCAGTTTCGTATACGGATATTACGAAGTTGAGGGTGCATTTTTTTCATAACGCTACATGCAAAATTCACGGCAGTCATAGATGCGGGGGGCCAAGATTTCAGATGGTTCTACTATGCAGCGCTATCGTCTCAGCTGGTGTCTTTTCCCCTTACAAGCGAAAAATAATTGGCCAACGCATGGGCTGCTCGTGCGAAGACGCGTTTTTTGCATAGCTCCCGCTCAGATTTCTGTCGCTAACGCACTGGCTTTCTAGCAGATGCTCCTATCTAAAAGAATTTCCGACTGGCCGCCAGGACTGTCAGGAAACATCCCTTCAAAACTGCAGCCTTCTAGCTTCTCAGGTTTCCAGTTAGCAACTTACTCGAAAAAAATTTCAAGGGCCCGTACAAAGGTACCACGCTTACCAGCGGGCACGGTTTGAACTCGTTAATACCTGTTTGGACAGGGAACATCCCTCTAAAATTTCAGCTTTCTCAGGTCTCCGAGTTATGAACATACCCTGAAAAAATTTTGGCAGGCCCGTACGCGGGTACCACACGGGTGCTGGCGCCCATTTTGGGGATTGGGGCCAGCACGTGCATGTAGATTAACTTCCCGAAATTTCAGCCTCGCAGCATTTATAGGTCTTGAGATGAAAGTGCGTGACAGACACACACACAGACACACGGACACACAGACGGCCCCTCGTCAATATGCGTTTTTGCATTGCATAGCTGCAGAAAACGCATAAAAACAAAAATGTTACCAGTATGCGTGTGCGCACGTCGAACTTAAAACAACAACCATTCAAGCTGCAGATGATTTGACTATTTCAAGATTCGCGCAAAACGCATTTATTTAACAATCTAGCTTTCCGTTTTGTCTAGTTCAGAATTTCTCCACTTAAAAATTCAGGTTTAAGGAAAATGAATTTGGAGTTCCAAGGCTGTAAACATTTAGAGGAAGCATCATGCTAACTTTGCAGCTTTCCAATTTGCCGGTTCCTGCAACCGAAAATTTTGAGCCAAAAATCCCGTGATTCTGTGTAATCGGATTTCGACACAGGTGAAAGCTGATTTTAAATTTGCGGAGTCACAAATAGGAAGGGAACGTTCTCCTAAAATTTTAGCTTTCTAGCTTTTGTGGTTCCGTAGATAAAACGCACTCGGGCACGCATTTGGACACACACACACACACACACACACAAACACATGCACACAGGCGCGTAACGATAGCATTACGTACTGCTCTTACGTAGCACAAACGAATAAAAACTGAAAGAGAAAGCGGAGGAAGCCGAAGCTTACGGTATCATGATAAGTGGTAGCAGTGTAATTCCAGCAGCTGTCCACGATAGTATTTTCCATTCTCCGCATAAGTATGCAATCCCAGATAGAACGATATAATTGGGTGAGTAAGTGACTACTGTTGCAACCCACATGCGATGCTTATCCGGAAGGTTTTCCATGAAATATGGATTGCATACGCTAAAAAAGTACGGTGCAGATAACACTAAACACAAGTCTAATTGTAAAGGACACAAGCCCTTTCTTTTTTAGGAACAATTATGCATTCATTTTTAATACAGTTAGTTTCTTTTAGCAGTTTCACTCGACATTTGTTAAAGATTCTCAATTGTTCAAGCGGCTAAGAAGGAAAAATTTTTATCAGTGGAATTGCTCAAAAATCAGTTAAATCTCTCTTTACAAAATTTTCCAAATAAGCCCTTTCTCTTCAGAAAATCCAAAACAAAGCTGGAAAAATTACTGAGCAATTCCTTTGCTCCTTTACCGATTAAAATCTCCTTAGTCCACTAAATTCTCGGCATTTTCTATATTCGCTGAAGTGTTAGTTAGTGAAAAATTGCTCATCAGCAAAAACTGCTCATTCTCAGTGAGGGCAAAAAGTATTCATGTAAATTTCCCAGGTGTTAACGCATTGCCAGCAACACTCGCTGACAAGATTAGCGCAAACTCTTTTTTTGACTTGCTTAAAAGCAAGTTAATGAGTAGCAGTTCTGACTGTTTAGTGTGTGCCAGTAAGTGGTTGCTTTCAATTTTAACGAAATTATAAAGTGACGTTGGCGGGCATTAATGCACTGGAAGAAAATGTTGCTATTGTACTTCAAGAGTTTGTAACATAAAGAGTTCTATGATCTATTCCTCCGTTTTAAATTGGCACTGATATACTCCAGAGGGTCAAATTTATCATCAGTTTTCTTACCTTCGGAAGGGGGGACTATTGGCAGTGCTGCCAGCAAGTGATTCCTGCTGAAACTCGCTACACTTCCGAGCGTATCCACCTTTCGAACAGAGGAAGAGCATATTAAGAGGTTTTGACCTCTAATAATTGTTAATGAGCGGAAACTGCTAAAATTGCTCCTTCCTCATTAAAAATCAACTAAAAATATTTTTGAACTTAATCGCGTCATCAAAATTAACTTTTGTCATAATGCTTGGGCTATTTTAAGTAGCAAGCTGCATTCTAAATACTTACCAATGTTTTCCGCCTGTAAAAACCATATCCAAAAAACGAAGCGCAGTGAAGGCGAGGAAGGATGGCGAAAATGCTGTTGCAATGAGAAATATTATCAAACCAACTGTAAAGGTCAACAGGACC